TAGATGAAAACATCGGTCAAGATACGAGACTTGACCGCTAGAGGTCATTAGTCATCTCACGGGGTCACTGACCGCTAGTAAGAGGCTTCGGCTATTGTGATGGGTCGTTGGTTTATTTATGATTTTTCAATGTTAGTAAATACACTACGAGTTCGTGATAACATTTTTTACTAATAAAAGGCTTAGCTGAAAGACGAGATTATTTTTTTATTCATTAAACTCAAAAGTCGTGAAATATTTTAAAGAGGTAATTAATATTAAAGAATTTAAAACCAAAAACAAAGTCCTTTATAATTCAATAATATCTTACGTATCTCGATTGCGGTCAGTTTGCGTACAAAAACCTGCAATTTAAAGGCTTTATTCGGTTCGACCAGTTTGGGCGAAAGTGAACGCTTCGGCGGTGAAAAGTGAATTTATACAGCGCCTCCGGTGCGGCGCGGCGTGCTCGGATAACTTTTTGTATCCCTTCGCTGAATATGTTATGGGAAGTACTGCTGACAAAGAGATTTTTAAACAAGTATTTGGCGAAGTACACCTGCCTAAGAACAGATAAATTGTATTAAAGGTGACATTATCAAGGGTGTCACAACTGAGAAGACGGAAAGTCTAAAAAGAAAAAAGATTAGAGGGAGTTAGAATGATTTTAAAGAATTTTGTTTGTCCCGAAAATCGAATTTTAATTTCTATCGCAAGACAGCTATAAATCAGTGATATCGAGGGATGCCATAAAACTATTACAGCGTCAATAATCGAAGGTATCCGGCTGGAACCGGACCGAACCGGTTTAGTACCGCCATCGGCCGGATTTTTTTCAAACTAGATCGGTCACTCTTCCTGTCGTTTAACTTTTTTCTTACACATTTCTATCGCTTGCCCCAACTTTGGTTGCGTAGTCGTGAGAATTCTCGCATAGAATATTCTAGTTGACTTTAATAATTTGATGTTTACACTCAAATTAACAAATGGACATGCAACAGATCGATTGTGAATGTCGCCAATTTTTAATCTGGCCAGACAAGTTAAAAATTTCGGAAACTAGTAAATTGTATAACGTCTATTCCGTTACTACAAAGAACATTGAAACATCCACTTCATAGGTTAAAATAAAATAGGTCCAATTTTATTGTAAAGTTGTATAAAGCGGTTATCTACTACAAATCTAATATCACATTATGTGTTGATAGACATAATTACTATTTTCCCTTGTCTCTTGTTCAAGTAAAACTACAATTTAATCGCTAAATCATATCAAATTGCGGAACACATTTACAATGTCTTCCTTATGGAGAGCTGAGCCGATTGCCGCTCAGTTAAGCCACAATAGCTCTTGTCTTTTGTTTTCAGTAAACACATTGAAATCAAGACCTAAACTTTTTAAATAAAGAACAAACAATTTCTAACACTGTTCAAAGCATTTTTGGCAATTTCCTTTTATCATTAGAAATTTTGTAGAGATTGTATGAGTTAATACTTTGCGTAACGGAGACTTAGTTTTAGTCTTCTTTTTATACCCACCTTCTTCTGATAATAAAATTATGGGAAAGAGATGTGGTTTTGGCAGAAGAGGGGACGTTCTGTTTCTGTGCGTCTTGTACTCCGTCGATTAAAGATGTCACGCATCTGAACTATAAATGTATATTGACTGTAGTCGCTTCGCTGTTCCGGCGAATACAGGTGACTGCTCGTGCTAACTAATTAAAAGAAATTGTATAATGTAAAACTAATGATTAGATAATGGCTAAAACCTCCAACAAGTTCTATCTAAATGCATGCCAGCACGCATCTTTGTTATTTATAAAACAATTGATTTAGGAGCGTGTTCTGCTCCGAATAGTAAACCGGAGTGGACAGCATTCCTCATCACTGAAGCGTATCAAGCGTTATGAAGCTGGATTGTTATACACTCGTAGACTTGATTCTAAAGTCTTATCGTAAAGTGAAGTGTTAGAGGAGAGATGTTTTGTTTGTGTGTGTGGTAATTTAAATCAGACAAATGACATTCAACGACAAGCAAACAGCTTGTCATTGCCATCAGAGACATCTATCAAACAGTTGACATTCTGTGTACATCTGATATTAATATTGCTCTACTGACATTTAAATGTATAGCTTAGCCAAAATTATTTCAAAGTCAAGCTAGCTTACTTTAACACATGTGCATAGTCTAGTTTCATAAATAGAGACAGTACAAAAGACAGTATTTGACAGCTGTCGTTATAATTAAACGCGCGCACAACTTTGACTAAACTGTCGCACAACTGTTTAGTCGCGCTTCGATTCCTATGAGGTTATATGGAGGTGCAACTAAACAGTTGAATTGGCTGCGAAACAATCGACAATCGCACCGAAAGTATAGTCAAAGGTGTGCGCTCTTAGTTTATTAAACGACCTCTTTCTTCCTATATATTAGCTGGTTTTATCTCTGTTCGGTTCTATTGCAGTTGTTAAGTTTGATACAACTAGAAGTTTCTCTCACTACTTGTTTGTCCCTGTAACTATTTCAATCTCTATGGTTACTTACACAATATTATGTAATATTTTACACCAATCAAAATTCCCTCAGACAATTGATATCAATACGTGAATACTGAATGAACTGAAGGATCAAAACAATGCAATTGTAGTAACGATTCAAGAGCATTGTACCCCATCCATTGAAGCATCAACAGAGAGTCGAGTTGCGGTCACTCTAGCTCGCACTTCCGACCACACAATGGACCAAAACATCGTACACAGTAAACAAACTCTCTAATTAACATCGTTTATCTTCAGTATCCACTGCCAACAAACATATACAAATGAAGTATTGTATAAAAAAATATGAGCAATTTACAACGTTTTTAATAGTTTATCTAACTAGCTTTCACCCGCGACTCTGTTCCAGTGGAATCAAAAAAAAATGAGTAGCTAATGTATTCTTCCAGACTATCTACTCTACCAAACCAAACTTCATCGCAATCCGTTCAGCTGTTTGGGCTACAAAGTCTAACAAACATCCATCAATCTATGTAAACTTTCACATTTATAATGTTAGTAAGATAAGATTTAGTTAAATTCGATGTAAGTTTTTAAAGTAACAAAGACGTTTGATAGATTATCTGTATTCGTTTTCAGGTCATTGTTAGTACTTCAAATGTAAAGCTGTGTCAGTGTTCATTGTGAGGCTTGCTTAAGTTCCTGCGGACGCTACGATCGTTTTAATTGTTCTTCGGATAGCATATATAAATGGACTAAAGTGTTGTAACGAATGATTTTCATACATCTCGTTGGAACTTGTTCTCTTCTTGAATGAAAAGACTCCGTCAAAAATAATGTTTGTTAGCTTCAAGAGATGGCGCTAAAATCATATATTCCAAAGATTAATCCTATGTTCTATTGTGTTGATTACTATAAAGGGATAGAGGGAGCCTTATGTGTAACGGCTGATAAATAAACCATGCCTTTCAGTTCCTTCGTGTAGTGATCAGAACAGTATGCAAACTATAATTTGTCGCGTATTACGTAAAAGGGAACGCAATGTAGAAAGAGGGCGTGCGGGTGCGAGTGCGAAGCGCGTTCCATTCCACGCAACGCGTCCGATATAATCAGCGACGCGACACCGCGGATGTTGCGATTTGAGCGTGCTTAAATTGTTTTTAAAAATGTTATCTATTTTAAAGGCTTCTGATGCCCCCCAAACTAATGATAATTAATTTCTCCTGCGGCACTTTTGATTTCATGCCTATTTTCGTTAAACCCACACTGAGGTAAAGTAATTACACATCACCAATTAAATATAATTTTACTAGTAAAGTTATTAATTGGTTACATTTTACCACATAACTAGAAATATACGTGTTTGATAATAAATAATACGCAATGCACTGCAATTACTGCACGGATTTATGTCCAATCTCTTGTGATTTGATTTAATTGCAAACGCACGAGTTTGCGTAAACGCAGCGGCTGACGGTCGTTGACCGCAGTACAGCGCCATCTAGTGTTGAGATGCGATACAATAGTTACAATTGTTCCACATGACTGATTTTTCTAAGAAACAATGTCATTTATGTGCAGTGAAGAGAAATGCAATGGACGCTCACTTCCGCACTGCGAAGAAAACTGCAAGCAGATGACCAAATTATGCGAATCATAAGACAACAATATATCAATATAAGCATCCCGGCAATAAAATCTCATAACAAAGCACGTATTAATTAAAACAAATTGCAGTTTGAGTACAGAGTGTGTAAAAAGTGGAGAGATAGTATCCGTAACGTCGACTAAATTTTTATTAGATTTTTGGAGCGCCCCCTACTGGCCGTAAAGTTCACCGATAGATCTGATATAAATAATTCTTTCTTTAGTTATATAATAATAAAAATAAATAAATTCAGTCAGATGCGAGCGAGACTGCGAATAAAAACTAGTGTTATAAGAATTAAAAATCAATAGATAATACAAACGCACCTTTGGGTCATATAAACATTTTTATCAGAGAGACGTGACAAAACTCATACGTTAGATAAACGTTTATCAGTAAAATGAACTTTTGTTGTGCGTTATCTAACTGTGCGTTTCCACTGTAGAAAAACTTGATGCACAATACAAAATATAAAAAAAAAAACGTTTAATCCGCTCAAAACACATTGCAACCTACATGCATTTAAAATAAAACGTAAACAATAAAAATAAACTAGACTAACAATTAAAACTAGGGACAAGAAAAAGTACATAAAGAAATAAACACAGACATTCTAACCCATCTTGCAATGCAAATTTTGACAGGGTCATTCATCCCACTAAGGGGCTCGAAGCCGGTAAGTAAGGGGTGACAAGACCATAGTTAACCTGCATTGGGGGTTGACTTCACACATATATTTCAATTTCTTCGCCGATATGTCAACTGTTTAAACTTGAGCTACCAAAACATAGTCATTGCTCAATACAAAATTCACATTTTTTTTATAGTTATCATTATCACTAGTTTACTATGACCTTTTGTTTCGGAAGTCAATAATAAGATGATTCGTCTGTATAAATACGATGTAACGTCTCACTCCATACAATCGTAATACAACGCTTGAATCATGTTGAAATTGTTAACATTCGTGTGTATGGCAATTATTTGTCAGGCGAAAGATATCGATTCAGGGGAATTATTATACGGGACGTATAAAGTCGTGTACACATCACCAGAAGCGACGCAACCAATCCCATGCACAGAAGTTGTTTTCTCAAAACCACCAGAAAATGCTAATATAAATTGCCACTGTGAAAACCAACCGAAAAAGGAAATATTAATACACGAGAGAGTGAAATCGAGTCAGAATATGGAATTTAATTTGTTAGTTGATTTCGTTGATAATGTCGAGGATTTGGAATCGACGCTGGCCAATAAATGCTCGTGCACACCATCAAACAGATCGAGAACGATACTTCAGAAAGGAGGAGGTGATTCTTTACTGCAATATGTGCAAGGAGGTGCAAGAGCGTATGTGTTAGCTAAAGAAGTACCTAAGCCGGAGGAACTTAGAGCATTAATAAATAACTTCCCCAACTTAAGAGACGCTAAAGGTACCGTATTGTGCTCGTGATTAAGTTAATGTCTGTACTTGTTTAAAAACATGTCGTCTCTATCTATGTTAAGGAGAGTGAAAGGGACAGCAATGCTTTTTTTATATAATTCTTCGCCAGTGATATGATAAGTAAATGAATTTGAAAGATGAAATTGTTTTATTTTGTTGGTTTTAACTTATTTTTTTAGAATAATGACAAGTGTATTGCAAAAAATAGGACTTTCACAATTTTCATTTACAAGTTGGTTTGTGTGAAAAAACTACAATCTACAAACACAGATACATGCAACACTTAATTACAGTAATTTTTCCATACGTATTGATTGATCCGGCGCAGGCGCAGTGAAAGCGGGGCTTAAGGAGTCTGATGTTTTCACTTGGAAAGGAAAAGCTGCGGTTATTATCGTAGATGGAATATTATTGCGTCTATACTACGCTTGAAGATTGATGGACGTTTACGAAATGACTGCGGAAGTTGATGCCCTGACGTTTTATTTTGTACCATGAAGCGCAGATATTTACAATTTCTAGTAAATACATGTGTTTGATAATTCATTACTTCTAGGAACATTCGAAGTTATTCAATTTTTTTCACATCTACACTTACATAATATAATAATGGTTGGACAAACTGGGGTAATAGTCATGCTCGTTAAATAATAAGGGCGGGCTCACACTGCGCGACGTCACACGTAACATACAAACACGCGGACACAACGAATATGTAACGTTTACGTAACATCTTCAATATTCACTTGTAACGCGATTAAACTTACATTGTCAAGCTACACACCTTTAGTTTTAACTGTACAGTATTTAGGTGTAAAGATATTTTGAAACCTGAAGGTCGATCTTAGTCGATTTCCAAAAGGAGGAGGTTGTGTGGCTTATCATTCGGCTTTTAATATTAGCCCTTTAAATTTGAGTATTACAAAGCTATACCAAGATTTGAGTTATATTACATCATTTCATTTAGTTTCAGTTTAGTTAGCGACTAGATCTTTGAGCAATACCAGTGGAATAGCCTGGTTTTCCTTCAAAACACGTTTCTTGATAAATTATTTTAGTCGGCCGATATAACACGATACAATCTAAATGAATATTGTTGAACAAATTTAAATTAAAACTATACCTTATATCCATTTTACCTTTATTTTAATAAAATGTACTACTTTAAAATAAAGAATGACGTTCTAGGAAATGTTTATAAAACTATCGCACTTAACTTCCAGATGGCGCGCCACACCGTGCTTAGGATATTGAGTCTGCTGGTGGCGGTCGCTGCGACGCGCGCCGACAAGGAGCAGACGAGGTGGTCGCGGCAGATCAGCACGTATACCGCAGACATCAGTGACTGGGTGCCGCTGCCCGGCCCTGTAGAGAGAGAAATCACACAGACAAAGAAGCAACCAGTCGCAGAACCTCGTATACTCGCAGAACCCTTCCCCTCGTACACAAGGTCAAGCGGATTCAACCAGGATGCATTCCCTTCCAGAATGTTCCTAAACAGCCCGACCAATAGACAACTGTATTTACAGTCCCTACCTGCAGTACCTTCAGCCCCACAGAACTATTTAACAGACCAAGGATTTGGACAAAGCATTCGTTTCGGATTATCACAACCAAATTTCCCGTTGAACCAAGGATTCGTTTCTCAGCCGCTAACCTTTGAAACCATTCCCCAGTTGAATATGAAGCCACAACAAATCTCGCATAACCCACAAATAAAGTTTGAGACTGCCCCACAAATAAGCCAACCTATAAGACCTCAAGTACAACCTTTCATCACTCAATCCCCCATAAAGCCTGAAATACCCAAATACTTCGACGGATACCGTATACAAAATGTCAGCAATGATTTCAACACGAAGAGACCACAGTCGCTACAAAAATTGAAATATGACGGTGTGAAGACAGAAACTGTTCCACCAAACAAACCTAAAGTCGAGCGAGAGGAAGTTCAGTTGCTCTACGTTCCGCTGGAGTCGCTCAATTCTGGACAATTTAACTATAGAACTCCAATCGCTACCCCTCAAGTTATAAACTCTGATCTGTACAGTCAAATTCAAAAACAGTTTCCACCAATTCCTCCGCAAATACATAAACAAATTCCTGTGAATTCACCTCTTGTCAACAAACCATCTGCACATTACCAAAAGCAAAAAATAAAAAATGTGGCCAATTTAAACCCAAGTCAAGAAATATTCTCCACTTATAACGCAAAGACGAATACTATTGACCAAACACCTAAGTTTACAACATTGTCTACGCCGTTCCCCACCTTGCCGTCATCTACTCCAAAACCAAAAAAACTGAAGCCACACCAACCTCCACTAGCGATATTTTTAACACAAGAAGCAAGAAAGGATCATCAAGTCAAAGTCGGAGATGTTTTGTACTCTTTGAAAAACGCAAACACTATAGCTGTTCTGGACGCTGTTAACCCTCAAACTGCTCCGAAAGTATTCATCGGCCCCTCCTCCTTAACACCACCAGAAAACTATGTAAAATTCGACTTGCCATATTTGTCTAACATTGAAAACATTGAAAAGAAACTGCGACAGTTACCTTTCTTCGTAGCGCCACTAAGCTACAAAACGCCCCAAGGATTTGCGAAAATTCCTTTCCCTTCACCGCACGTGGGTTCTGTAGTAATTAATTCGCAAATTAACAAAGAGGCGCCGCCTCAAATTCATGCTACGACATTATCCGATTCCCCTCCCAGTTTTTACACGTATAATCAATTCCCAACGAAACAAGCACAAAATATAGAACCACAGAAATCTACCAATTATTATACAACTGCACCTCCAAAACCAAAAATACCTTCGAATTATGAACCGAATTATTATTCTTTTGACCACCAAGGAACGAGGAAAGAACCCGAGACTGTATCGAAAGCCAATTCTTATTTCCTAAGCAACATTGGAAGTCAATACAATGCAAATAATTACGTCAGTTTCCCATCAGCACCAAATCTACAATCACCAGAGGTAGTTCAAAACTATCCAACATATCAGAGTTCGACACCGCGTACGATTCCTACACAAAAACCTACAACAACAACGACGTCAACAACAACAACAACAACTACCACCACAACAACTCCAAAGCCTTCAACATACCCCAGTCAGCTGTTGGAAACCCATAATCCTTACTCTATAAACCACGCGTTCCATTTCAGTACTCCGATAGATTATCAAAACTTTTTCGACGAATACAAAGAAAATTATGCTACCCCCGGACAAGCTCCCAACTCACAAGCGCAACCTCAAGTAAATGTATCCTCACCGAGCCCAATTACTAATTCTCAAGAAACAGAAAGAACACAATCACTAATACAAGGATCACCAAATTACCAACAGGGTTATACACCAGAAGTACATTACGAGTCTGAAGTACAAAGTTCAAGATATCCCACTCATGATACAAACCCCCAAACAAATAAACAGACTTATTATAGTCAAACAAATAATCCTGTAATTCAAGAGGATAGTTTTAAGCCGAGCAGCGATCTCACACCGCCTAGGATCGTCAATGAACAAACACCAACTGAATCAGTTTTAAGTCCCGCAAACCCTCCAGCATACGATAACCCACCTGAATCAACTGAGAATCATATTCCCATAACAAATGCACCATTCGACTACAGTAAATACGACAATAGTTTCGGTGCAGGTGAATATGAACAATCAACTCAAAGTTCTACTACCACTACCACAACAACAACAACACGAAGACCACCTTTGAGGACCAGAGGCCGTCCGCGGTATCCTACAACCAAAGCCGATACCGGAGAGTATACAACTAAACAAACCATCACTCGAAGACCGCTCAGAGAGAGAAGGCCTCTGCCGAGCAGGACTAGATATGAACCGAACAAGATAACCACAGAGAAAACCGTCAAGAAACCAACTGAAGCAACTGAAACTACTACAAAATACACAAGAACAAGGACAAGAGGACGAGTTCATTATAGACCATCTGGTGCTGATGACATTCCTGGAAAACGATCGAAACAAAGCAGCAAAGAAAACGATCTGGCATATCAAAGAGATGTTTTACATCAAAACTATCCTGTAACACTTATGGAAAGGGCCAGCACAGCTGATATTGACGCGATCACTGAGCCAACATTCAAGGTTTCTTCCGCGAGCACAAGATATTCAGAAGATACAGAGAACGCATACAGCAATGATAAAGTTACTGTAACCGAACATTCCTTTAATACAGAAAATACAGAAAACTTAAACGAGTACTCCAAAGATTACTCAGCAGCAAATGTATTGTCGATAAGAAACGAAGAAAATGTTTATCAATCGGGAACTAGTCCTGCACCTGACAATACTTATGCTACACAGGAAGAATCAAAAGACGATGATACATACAGCAAACAAACAACTCCCATACAACCAACAGCAGTAGAAGAGACAACTGTGCCTGCTGCTACTGAACTAGCGACACAATTAAATGAGAATCATTATTCGCCAACTTACAAATATGATTCAATAAAAGAAGAGGTAGAAGAAACTACAACGCAACAGAATGTTGAAAACGATTATGTTCAAAGTGAAGGTGAAAATCAACAACAAGAGCAAGAGGAAAACGTTATTCAAACTACTCCATCATATAATAGAGTCCGAGTGCGTCCGGGAGTCATTAGGCAATACCATCAAAGTTCCACTGAGTCATCGAGAGTTAGAGTAGATAGAAGAAGGCCAGGGCAGGCAATAACATACCGACCCACATTCGATAAACGCAGAACTACGATGCGTATCGACGAAATAGAAGCTGATTTAAAAACGAAGCAAGTCCATTCACGTCCAGAGGTTCAAGACTACAGACATCCCGTTTATAAGCCTGAACCTACTACTGAACCGTCTGCCACAACTGCATTAACACAAGAAACAACTAAAAGAGGTCTATACCGTCGTAGACGACCAACATATACAGTGTCATCCACTGAGACTTCAACGAGTAAAAAATCTTATGAAACTAGAAATAGATTCAGGGGAAGACGTCCAACAGAAAAACCGACGGAGAAGCCGGAGGAACAAGCTGAAGTGACAACAACGACCACGCGGGACACACCGGCAGTTAGATATAGCGAAAGGCCGCGCTTTTCTGATAGATTCAACAGAAACCATGAGCCCGAGGAACAGGAAGATCAAGATCCGAACTATTCGATACAAAGACCTAAGTACGCCGTCCCAGATTCTAATCGATGGTCACCAAAAATTTCTACTAATTCATTCAAACCTTATAATCCAAACGATGTAATAGATGAAGTAAAAGTACCAGCAGTAGACCAACAGCCGGAAGGTCCTGAGCTCGACATAATCACAGCTAAAAATGAATATGACAATGTTCTCATCTCTGTAACTCCAGCGACAAACAACAGAGTTAATAAGAAGATTCCAGACATTCCCCCAACTCTAGAAGCACTAGTAGAACAGAGCCGATTAACAAAAACAGAAGGTACCGATACAATGTCAACATTTGAAAGTATGCTCGAAGAAGTAATGAAAAGTTTAGAAGAACAAGACGAGGACGAATACACAAAGAATGTGATGAAGCACAAAGGCGGAGAAATTGGGGAAATCCCGCCGGAAAAAATAATATCGCCTACAACGGTATCGCAAGATATCGTCACTTCGACGGCCGGCACTGAAGAAGCTGAACAAATAACTGAGGTATGTACAACTGCTTTTTAGTATTTTCATATATAGTCATTCCAATTAAAGTTCTTAGCTTCTCCTCTGTTTTAAGAACCTAAATACTCCCAACGATATCTAAAATGGTGATCTGTTTGTCCTAAATTAATAACTATAATTAACGTATGTTTAAATAATATATTAAAAATTCAACGTATGTTTTTTTTATTCCAGAAAGAGCATGAACGGAAAACACGACGCCGTGGATTTTGGAAAAAGGTGAAAGTACGTCCAGCAACCACCGAGTCATTCGAAGCGGCTGAATCTCAATATTACTCGAACGCGGTCAACCGACTGGGACAACCTGTGAAATTATCAAAAACAGGTCATGAAAAATCGGATAAAATTGACAAATCCAAACTCACAGTTACCACATACAAACCAACCTTTCAATTCATCAAAGAACTTTTCGAGACTGACAACGAAGACATGGAAATTACTCCAGATATAGAAATACCTAAAATAACAACAGTTAAATCAAATCAACATAAACAACACAATGATCGTCATAGAACCACAATCGCGTATACCACAAAAGAATCTGATGACAGTAATTATCCCAGTGAATTAGATTTGGGCACCGGATCTCCTGATTCTACTTTTGGAGCGAGTACATATTTCGGTGCCGTCACTGAACCTGTTATAACTAAAAAAGATCATTCTGTTGCCGACAGATCTGATGGTTTTAGCTTCATGGATTACTTATTCGGAGTTACTTCACCGAACGATGACGATAAAAAACCCAAGAAAGAAATTCTAATCGATGACAATATCGCATTAAATTTAACGACAATAGAACAATCTGAACAGATTAAAACAAAAACAACTACGGAAACAACATATATACCTGAAGAATTTACTGCAGTAACAACTAATGAAGATGTTGATAATAAATCTATTGATAAAAACCAAGATGTAACCAATAAAAATAATATTGTACGTGACTCTACGGAGCCTTTGCAAAACCACATAGAAACAACTACTATGTCTTCATTTATGGATTCTCTAAAAATAGTGAGTACATCAATGTCAACGGAGATATCACATGAAACAGAAATTTGTTTCAGAGGAAAATGTATTAAAACAAATAAACCAATGTTATAAAGTGATGACGAAAATGGTGCTAAGACTGTGTTCAAACTTATAGTGGAGTAAGTGACGAAACTGCAGCTATCGTATTGTATATTGTAGTTTTTAACCATCTCGAAGCTATTTCATTTACTTATACATTTTATTCATATTTATTACTACTTGCTTTAGTACGTATTTTACCAGTAATTTGGGTGAAATTTTGTAAATTGGCTTCAGTATAACTCTTTACTTAATTTCACCCTCGGTCTCTATTCAATAGGGAACCTATAATCTAATATTAAATTTAAGGTTAGTGTCTACTTAATTAACATAGGTGCCTATTTACACAAAAGAAATTAGAATTTAAGTTTTCTTATTAACTTTTGTAATATACTGACTGATATTTTACCCATAAATATAAATATTATAAATAGAAAACAACCCAGTTTGTCAATCTTTTCCACATTCGTCTTGTAACTATATTATAAGTTTATTATTATTACAAGATATTGAATGTATAAATTCTACTGCTACTTTCAGTGGATTTGTGTACCATGATTAAAATAATTTATAATAAAATAATATGTAAAAACTTTATGTGTTTCTTTTACAATAAAAATATATTTTCCAGCGATCATAAGCCACAAAATCCCTGCTCTACAAACCAAGCATCGTCTTAAATTATTTTTAGCTTGGCGGGGAAATATATTAATAATACTGCCATCTATTGGATTCCTAGTGGCTTTAAATTTTATTTCAAGAGTTTAAAAAGGAGTCCAATAGATGGCAGTAATGTTAAATTATTTTCTAATCAAGGCAACAAAATCAGTAATCGTACAAAATTAATTTATGATAAAGTAATTTTTGGAATATCCTCTCGTTTTAAATGAAAATATCGTTGAATTAAAAAGAGTGGTTTCACATTTTTTTTCTGTGTCACACTCCTGTCAAAATGACATCACTTAGAAGATTAGACATTGACATTTGCATGTTATTGTTTTTGTTGATGAAATTGTTCGAAATATCGAAAGTATTGTATTAGGAACAATTAATGAATGATGGAAGTTGAAGCTAAAATAAAAGAAGACATGAGAAACCTCGGCTGTCAATCTGAGAAGAAAATTACGCTAGCATATCAGCTATATATCTATTTGCTTGATGAAAAACTTATGTACGACACAGAATATTGTTATAACAAAGATGTAGACACCCTTTATATTGTAGCCAGACCGAATAAAAACGAAAAAATCAATATCTACGTACCTATTCCTACAAATTTCGATATAAGCGTCGATTATATTAATAAAATGCAAGAAAACCTGTGTACAGTTGAAACTGGCCCTACAATAAACTTAGCATTTATTGAAGAAGATTTTACGACAGTTCTGTACACATTTACCAAAGGTTTAGTTGATCGACCGTCACTGGACAGATCAACGCAACTTAAATGTAAAGAGGAGAAGCGGAGATTCATAAACAGTGAGATTCATAAAAAGAAAACTGACATTTTAAATGATGCTATGAATGGTGGATTCGTTGATGACGATGATTGTGAAATAATAGAATAGATGAACACTAGTTATATTGTTTTATTTTATCCTAAATTAAAACAAAAAAAAATTCTTTTACAGTAAAGTAGTCTAATCCAAAAATAACTCCTAAATTTATTGAATAATTTAAATAAAAGGTAGTTCACTTTAGTTGCTAGTTCATAGACTCTTAGAAACTGAATGTTTTGGCTTTATATTTAAAGCCTGGCTGTCGCTAACCCTACTTGAATTCAAAAACTCAACTGTATTATATCATGTTAAACATTGAATATGGCCACAACCAATATTGATTTGTCTTTTAGTTGCTAGGTTAATAACATTTTAACTAAATATAGAAAATGATTGCTTAATGGCAAGAACCACACCGTAAAAGAAAGCAAAGCAAAATTTATTTATAGAACCTGTATTCCTCCAAGATTCCTAAGCTTTTATATTCTGCATTTAATAAAATAACTATCAATTTTTATATCTACATAATAAAAAAATGTAATAGGAAAAGAAAACTTTTACTTTGATACTAATTTTAGAAATAAAGACATAATTTATTTATTTTCATATAATTTTGTAATTAACTTATGACAGATGAACAAAATAAATAGGCTAATCTGTGTGTAAGTTTTTTAATTATTCATTTTTGCAAACCGTAAAGTCGTCGAGTATCCAACCAATAATTTCACAACCTCTGTCACATGTCAGGATGGCCGAGCGGTCTAAGGCGCCAGACTCAAGGTTTCCTTGCCCACTATAGTGGGTCCGGGCGTTCTGGTCCTCTCTGAGGGCGTGGGTTCGAATCCCACTTCTGACAAAATCTTTTTGTTGACTTTTTTAATTTCCTAATAAAATTTATGCATCTGAATAATAAAAATGACATTTTTTTTCTTTATTTATATCACGACAATTTTTTTAAGTCACTTTAAAACTATTGGAGGAACTTTATTTCTTTTACACAAACGAGTTTTTTTATAATGATGAAAATATAAGAATAAGAATAATAAAAATCAAATAGTACAGGGACAGGGAAGGTGTATATAAAAAACAGTCTATAATATTTGATGGTGATTTAAGTTTACATCCTCCGTGAAAAAACATAAAAAGTCACTACTACAAAAGCAAAAAAGGCATTTTCCCGTACCGGGAATCGAACCCGAGCCTCCTGGGTGAAAGCCAGGTATCCTAGCCACTAGACCATACGGGAGTTGTGCATTACATTGAATTTATGCAATGAATCGCTTGTCATTGACACTGCCGTGCCCCTTGATTTGCACTATAAAAATTTTATGATTCTGTACTTGGCGCAATTAGTAAATAAGTTTATACTATTAAAGGCACTGTACACATTTTTCATGCATTGCTTAGATACAAATATGACGATAATATTTTTGAATAATCTTATCAATATTGTCGAAACAAAGTTAACCTTAAATTAAAAAAAAAAAACAAGATTTAACAAAATACAAGCATTATTATTCTTACCTTGAATGTGTACTCTCATCCGTTTTTGTCTTTTTTTTTGTAAAATTACGTCTTGCGTAATTTTCAATATACATATATAGCCTCCGTGGCGCAATTGGCTAGCGCGTTCGGCTGTTAACCGAAAGGTTGGTGGTTCGAGCCCACCCGGGGGCGCATTTGTTTTTTTGACTAAATAATTTCCACGAGTTAAACAATACCTTTTTGTTCAAAATAAAGAAATTGTCATAGGTGGTCAGTGTTTTGTTTTGTTTGTTGACACATTTTTTACTAAAGATCTAATGATTAATGAAATATAGTTAACACAATAGAAAGAAAACATGAAAAAAAAAAATGACTTAACGACACCAAACTTTAATTTTGTGTAATAACATTTCTTGTTTTGGCTTTGTTAAAATAATAATTTATTTCGTTGGAACAATATTTTTAAAGCATTTGTCATTGGGGATATAGCTCAGTGGTAGAGCATTCGACTGCAGATCGAGAGGTCCCCGGTTCAAACCCGGGTGTCCCCTAATATTCTTTTTTTTTCTTGAGTCATTTTTTACCTTAATATATTCTCAGTTATAATTTTTAAATTAACATTTTGGTACCATATATTTTCTTTGTAATAAAACGTGGGAGAACACTAATAGTACACAATATCTTTACAATGAATGTTAACAAACGTGAACTAATAACTTGAGGTTTTTGTGATATATGACTCGTAAAAATTAAAGGAAAAGTTTATATTAGTATCGAAGTCCGGTTTTTATCTTTAGTTTTTTTTTTCATTTGTTTTTATGGCAGTTAAGTACAATACTATACTAGTTTTAACTTTACTTAATGTAACTTAATCGTAAATTCAAGTCGTTGCTCTGCAGCAGTCGTGGCCGAGTGGTTAAGGCGTCTGACTCGAAATCAGATTCCCTCTGGGAGCGTAGGTTCGAATCCTACCGGCTGCGAACGTTTTTGCTGTTATTTATCAAAGTACATAAAGAAAAACCCTCTGCGTTTTTTTTATATTTGGTACATTATGACAATTTTGAATTACCAAAATTAAATGAAGAGCGCCATCTTTTAAGAAATTAAAATTTAAGAGAGCAGAGATATTGTCAATTACTAATAATAATCTCAAATATATGGACATACATAGTTTTCTTACTATATTAGTAGACTATAAAAAACATACAAACGAATTGAGTACCTCCTTCTTTTGGGAAGTCGGTCAATAAAACAACACCAGTGGAAACTCCACAACATTATTTATTTATTAGGACATCTCGCCAACAGGATACATATGTTATATTGTTATAAATATTTTTCATACTTAATTTAAGTTATGATGATAATTTTGAGTCCAATCCTCTATCACCAAAGCCACGCCTCTCTCTCCCACCATAATAGATGGTGCGTTGGTATTACCGCGAGGTACGATAGGCATAATGGAGGAGTCTATAACACGCAGACCCGATATCCCATACACTCTAAGCCTCGGGTCCACCACAGCCTTCTCATCCCATTCGGGACCCATTTTACAAGATCCTACAGGATGATACGGCGTCGACGTGTAATGTCTTGCTAAACAAATAATGTATTCATCCGTACCCCATTCATAACCTCTACAAGCAGGCAGTTTGACCCTTAAGAAATGTGCCCCCATTTTCTTAAATGCTTCCGTACCTTCTAACGACAGAAGGAATCGCACACCTTTAATCAGTGGTATCAAATCTCTTTCATCGTCGTAATAATTAGCATATAAAAGTGGATGACCATTAGGATCAGTTGTATTCAGGCAAAGTTTCCCTCTACTATATGGTACTAAATTCATAGTTCTGGGTATCAAACCGTCATAGAAACCTGTAGGAAAAATCCTTGTTCTATCATAATCTACAGGTTCTCTTACATATTCCCTCCATTTTACACTATCTACTTGATATTGTATATCAGGTGCGGGTAAATCTGGCTCAGTTTTAATAAACGATACAGAACTAACAGCGCCATTCCCAGATAAAGGACCTCTTTTTATATCCATTTTATAATAATTAATAACTTCTTTTATAACTTCGTCATTAGTACGTAAAGTCGCTGTATTATTTGGAACAACTATTATTATACCATTGAATGTGACGTGATCGTGTAAGTTTTCACCAACAGCTAATTCTTTAATAACCTCGATACCAGCATTTTCCAATTGATCTCTCGGTCCTATACCTGATAACATTAGAAGTTTCGGTGCATTTATCGGTCCACCGCTAACAATAACCTCTTTCTTTGCAAACGCTGTATATATCAAGTTGTTTTTAATATATTTAACACCGTAAGCTCTTTTATGTTCGTCTATAAGGATTTTCACGGCTTCTGAATTAGTTTTCACAGTTAGATTCTTTCTTTTGAACCGTATAGGGCGGATGAATGCAGTGTTGGTTGATACTCTTTCGCCGTCTAGAGATATAGCCTGCGCTTGCATTGCGCCTAACTGGTGAGCTCCGTTGTAATCTGTTAAAGGCAGTCCCCTCTCGTGGAAGGCATCTGTGATCATGATGGATGGTTTGTCGAAGTAAGGGTAACGGGAGACGTATTGCTCGCCGGTGACGCCGTGGTATTTACGATTCAAGCCTTCAAAGTTTAGATTTCTCTCGGATTTCTTGAAGTAAGGGAGCACCTATGGGAAATTATAAAAGCTTACTAAACTTAGAATTTTGTATTGCGTATGCCATAACTTGACACATGCAATCCCATCGATTCGTCCGGCCTTACTTGAAGACGTTAAGACTGTAGTAGCATTGAATATGTTAAAAACTGAACTTATTGCATACTAACATCCCTGTAGCTCCAGCCTACGTTGCCGAGGTGCGCCCACGTGTCGTAGTCAAGGCGGTTGCCGCGGATGTAGGCCAACGAGTTGATAGAGCTTGACCCACCCATCATCTTGCCTCTACAACACATTAAAACAATGCTGAGACCACAACAGCGAGGCAAAGCAGTAAGCAGTTAAGTACTACTATTGTTTCAACACAACACACTGCCATAAATGTTCTATGCCATTGTTCCGATTCACTGTGCTGTCTTGGTGCAAATAAACACAACGGTATCTTAGCGCTAGGAGCATTAAGAAGCTCATAAATAATCTTACTCTTTTGCTACTGATAAATTAACGTTCGAAATAAAACGGATAGTCAATCATCACAGATACAGACAGACAATAGATGGCGCTGTCCTCAGAAAACATATCTAAACTTTTTAAGACGGTAACCATTACTGGGATAATGGTCCCAACAAACGTTAACACATCGTTACCTCGGCCAGGCACACCGTCCGCCGCGCGATGCCAGGCAGCTCTTCCCGTCTGGCTCGGTACTGTACGCCCAGTCCACGTTGGAGCCTAGTAGTACCGTTGACAGGCCCGGCACCAGCGACACGTCCGGCTGTTCTGGACCTGCCTCTAATAACAGCACCTGCGGAGAAAAATTCACGTTACACTGGCAACCAGTTGTATGGCTGAGCGCTGTGTTGTTTGGAATGATAATTTACTCAATAATTGTTAAGCAACAACTATATCCGATACTATTGCAACAGTGGTATACAATTTAAGTTGAACTAAATTGTGTCAACTCAAAGTCCCCTTTTTAAAGAAGATAATTCCTACCTTCCACTTCTTATTCTGGGATAATCTATTAGCGACTACACACCCGGCAGCGCCCGCGCCTACCACTATAAAGTCATACTCTTCTCTTTTATCCTCATAGCTCGCTATCTTCTCGATCACTGTATCATCTTCTCTTTCTATCTTCTCTGCGATTCTGCGGTCGCGGGAGTCGCCGTACAATTGCACGAGCAGGTTCAAGTAAACGTATGCTAGTTGGGAGCAGGCAGAGAGATGTGTATGAGTGGGACACACTTCCGACAGGTTGAGGGGTCTCCACACCATCGTGACTGGAAACAAACTTTTTAAGTTAAGTGACAACTAAAGTAGAGATTCCCTGGAGTGTATTTATTATGAGTTTATAGCCCCATAGACACATGACAAAAGGTGGTTAGACTTTAAAAAACCCTAACAGTGGCACTTTAGGTCTTAAATATTAAAAAGACGAATTTTCCTGTGATTGGCTAACGATTTGTTATATTTTTCGAATACTCCTAAATTCGATGTTTGAATACACTTACTATTTTTTCACAAAATCACAATTCTAGATTGAAAAATTTTAATAACAGTTAAAAAATTTTTTAGATCATCCTTTTTTTTCGAATATTTCACAGATATTTTTAGGAAGGTTTTTAAAAAAAACACCGCGTTTATGACCGTACCAATTTTAAGTTTGCAGATTTAATTTGTTGCAAATGCATTTATAGCTGGCTTTACGTGTACATTTTGGAATAGTAGGTCGTAGACGATTATATTTTTAATGTCTTTCATCCGCTAGAGCTAGACCTTCTGTTATTCTGCTGACTAAAATGAATTGATAAAATTATTGTTCGAGCGCCATCTATCTGCGCAAATTACCAACTCAAAAGATCGTTCAAGAAAATACTGTGTTTTGTGTTTGGCAAATGTTTTTTTAGGCTCGAACACTGCAAGTTACTTTACATTTTTACTTCAACAAAATTTTTTTCTCTCGTAATTTGTTGCAAAAATATTATACAAAGAATTCCGTCTTAGGTGAATAACTTTACAATTAACGAACTTCCTTTGCTAACTATTATAATTAGTTCACAATTAAACTACAAGTCATGTAAATTGACTTGAAAATTACATTCGTTGTTTATTAAAATATTACTATTTTAACAAAATAGCGCAAAGCGAATTGAAAAAAACCTGAAAGTACTAAACTAAACTGAAATTAAAAAAAAATACAGAAAAATTCCGATCTGTACTTATGAAACGGACATACTTGTACTTTGGAGAATTTTGTTGTTGGTCAAAGCTAGATCAAAATATATCTAGTGACATCTACCGATGAAAAAAGAAACAAAATAGCCACGCGTTCTTCAAAGTTGCAAGAGTGTTGGTGATGACAAGTGATTAGTGTTCTTGGGACTTTATTCAAAATTTGAAGACATAAAAAAACTAGATACTAAGATAGGGGATTTCCTGATCTTATGTTGACCTACAATATCTATCGATAAATGATCCAATCAGTTACGGTATATTACATTAGTTCATAATTAGGTCCAAGTTCATGCTAAAGATTTCACAGTTTAACAGTTGCTCATTGCCAAAACAATCTGTTAAAATGATTAATACAATGTCCGCACGCACACAATAGATATTACGGTAGATACTACTATTAGGCAAGTAAAACTATAGGTCGTGTTTTCATGTAATTTTGTATTGTATTCTTTGCAGTGCAGTTTAAACTGAATAATATCAATATCGACGAAAAGCTATTGAAAATTCTTATTTTTCCCTTTAAATTGCAGATAAAATTTTTACATTTCACATCAATTTTAAAAGTCTAACAACAATTATTTTTTCATTTTTCTTGTGTTGAGAAAAGAAAGACATATTGCGCCATCTAGCGTTGGGTAGTGGCAACTTTTCCAAACTCCTGTTTAAAGTTGTTGTTTTAATTCTATTATAATAGATGGCAGCAAAATACTTTTTCTTATTAGTTTTAATTTTATCATAACAGATGGCAGTATAACCAAAACAAGTTTACGTGGTAAACCCTAGTTATGTAATAGTTGGTTAATTCAAAATAATCAGCGAGTTTATTAGGTCATTAACCTCAAAATACAATAGTAGCTTATGTTTTTATGCTGTTTTATTCATTTTTTACAATATTTTCGCAAACCTGTCTTAATATTCAACCTTACAATGTGTTATCGCTTCTAATAGCACAATATTGTATTATCTATTCTAATATGTTTTTGATAACAATACACATTTTGATATCTTTAAGTAGGAATATTGATTAACGTTGAATATTACATAATTGTGATTTTTAATAAGAAAACAAACAGATTCTATATTATTGTATTTATTAAACATGATTATTCATATTAACAATTATACATAGAAAATCATTACAATCGCCTGCCAACATCATATACAATTAATTAGAAAGCTATAGCAGCACAATGTACCATACAAAAAACTTTCTTAATTATCAATATTACACTTTTTCTATAAGAGAATTCTCTAAAACCACTAAAACCCATACAACTTAACATATAGTGGTTATTCAAAAGCGTAGAACGAAATCGTTCAATATACAAGGACCATACGGTCATTATCTCTATATCCGTTTTATTCCTTTTCGAAGAATTCACTTCTCTGGCAGTTTGACGACAGGGATTTGTGAATGTCCCCAGTTCTCGCAGTAATCTATCAGATCTTTTTCTGTGTCCGTGAGGCTTGTGATGTCCATTTCCTGGCTGTCACTGAATGGATCAGTGTAAGGGTAGTGGACTAAAATGCAGCTGAAGTCAACAGATGTTTTGCAGCAGCCGAGGATCTTCTTTAATTTAGACTCTGAATCAACCTGCAACAATAAAGAAAATAATGTTAGTGATGTCTTTTTATTTAGATTACAGAATAGTATATAAGAATGTGAAAAATTAAGTTAACCAGAGTTGCTTACAGCTTTACTAGCGCCATCTTTTTCCATGATTGAGGTCTAGAGTTTAATGTGAGAGTAATTCACAACCGTAACTCGTAATTTGATAAGCTTAAAATTATTTTATACTCTCCAAATTATTACAGAATTTACTTTTCAAACTTTTAAAGTAAATTATTTATGTAAACAAAGTTATAATTCTCACCTTAATGCAATAAATATCATTTTCCACACAGAATGCTTGCAAAAGTACTTCTTGCATGTGCGTGGCGCTGTCTCCGGGGAGAGCCTCCGTCGTCACACAGAAAAGGGCGCCGTTGCAGTTGTTTGACAGATACTGTATGGCGGGGAGAAGGCCAATAGTCAGCCGTTTCTCCACACAAGCCCTCCTTAGTACCGTCTTGATACATTGACCAATTGGGCTGTGAACAAAAAAAATAAAAATTATTAATCTGACAAAAAGCCTCCCCGGCGGGGAATCGAACCCCGGTCTCCCGCGTGACAGGCGGGGATACTTACCACTATACTACCGAGGATTGTGATGGAAGTCTCAAAATTAGGTTCGGTTTGTTTGTTTCTTTACATTATTTCGCAATATTAATTTACATTATAAGTTTGTAAGCGATATCATTTCAACACATTTAAATTTGAATTATGCAACATTACTTAATACAATTATGAAATTAAACAAAATGAGATATTTTACCTTTTAGCAGCCATCCCACTGAAGGACTCCACTTTCACAGGAACAACTGAGTCGTTGTACATTTTCTTGTGCAAATGTATACTTTTTAGATTGTAAATATCACTAATTTTTGGCGCAATCCAAGCCGAAGTTTGAATTGTCACTGGCACTTCACACAACTGCAAATCACTTGAGTTCACTTATCACTATCTAATACAAGGACGAAAAGATCGTAAACTGTGTCACAATAATTTCACAACTTTACGAGCTCAACTGGCGTGTTTTCGCTTCCAATGCTGGGAGGAAAGTGAGCTCGAGTGCGGGGTGCGGGTGTATTTATGCATGTGTCGGCACGCGCCGTGTTATCTGTGTGTGCGTGTGTGCGGCGCCGCCAGTTCCAACGGAGATTCCTCGAAATACACGCGCGTTGTGAATTAAACACAAGTTTATAAATTCTACATGTGTGAGTGAATTTCTCTACAAATACATTATCAGTCTGTAAGTATGTCCAGTTTGTGATGACCTTTAATGTCGTAGTAAAGTTATCAAACAGCGTGCCAGCCGCGTGAACCTTGTCGTGGTCTTTCACGAAGGTTAACGTCTCAATGCGCATGTGTGCGTGTTCTCCGATGGACAGTTGGAATTCCCGCGCGCTTGGGTTTATTTTGACAGCAGGGAAACGGCGTGTGTCGCAAATCGAATTGAACGGATAGCACAATCAACTTTGTTTCTGGGTTTTGTAACAATTATGATTATAAAGTTTTATGTACAATGGTATAATGTTTAAATAGGTAAACAAATTATTGGATCGATAGTTTTTATTTTGCTGTTTCGAAAAAATAAAAAACTTTGTGCCTCTAGTGAAGTTTGTATCCACTAAACTTGATACTGACACGATCCTTGGTATACTCCATTCATTATTCGAACATTTTCATTCAAGTTGTTCAATAATTTGCCCCATTTCTTTAATTTTACAGCCTCCTCGTTTTTAGATGAAATGTGATAAGGAAAGTAGGTTGTAAATTATTGCAACAGATTATGTCCTTATACTAATTCTGAATTTAAAAAAATAATAAGAAACACGTTAATGTTTCCATTCATATTAAATCTACAGAAAGGAACATGTCCATACTTGTTGGTAACAGTTTCAACCAATCGAGGCTACACAGTTATTCCGCCATATTCTTACGCAATAACTTTCGAGTGATTTTGATTTGCTTATCAAACAGATAATATGCGAGAATACTCCATGTTAATCTATCAATATGGAATATTTTCATCTCTAAATGGTCCTAATAAGGGGCAAAATAAACGGACTGTCGTCGCATTTGACGTCCATTGTACTGGCCACAAAAGTAATTGGAACTCTATTTACATGCGTCGTAGATACATAAACAAATTAAGAACTTTTACACTTGTAGAGAACGTGATATCATAAATATCAATATAATAAATTCCTTAGCATATTGATAACATTTCGCGCAAGAGTAATAATCTGTTTCAAATTTATCAATAATTTACGATAAGGTAAAAGCTATTCTATGTTTAACAAGACTTGTAATTTTCTAATAATGCTCTTGGCTGTTATATCCTAATAATGCATAACAACGCAATCAGCAGAATTTCGCTGCACGTATGTTCCGTTCCGTTCGACGTTCAACACGACCATATAAAACAGGAATTTGACTTCGCGATTCTTTAGCGCCTAAATCGCTAGATTTGAATTTGTATTTTAAAAATCGAAGTGTTATGTTTAAAAAAATTCTTCTGATGAAAATAAAAATTAGTTATAACTATTCCTTACATCTATAGTATGTAATGTAGTACTAATGTACGTACGTACGTTACGTATTAAAATATGTCAAAAACTATTGGGCCAATTTCTTTCACCGTTATAAAGCAACGTTATCAGTGAGTAACTAAGGCTATTTTTATTTTTTTTTTTCAATCTCACGCGGGTGAAGTCGCGAGCAACAGCTAGCAACGTATAAATGCGATGTGTGTTGCCCGTATGGTTCATCGTAACGAACAAAGTTCGTATAAACAACCTTATCAGGCGGGGAATACGGACTAAAATCATCGACCTCCGATCGGTGCACTGTTATTAATATAATCTAAGATAAGTCTTATTTCTTAGTCACTAAAGCTTAATATAGATATCTTTAATCTACAGTATGAAAACAATGCTATCACAAACATCAATGAAAATGTTTTAGTAACGTAATCGACATTTGTATTAGATTTGTGCAGTGCCCTAACATTAAGTACACCGACAAATCTCATACGAAAGACGATTACGTTAAGAATTCGTTCTCGCAAATATCACGCAAATATTTCAAGATAGACCCTCTGAGAGGGCAAACATTTAAACATAATTTTATATAGTTCAAGAAATTTTCAATAACTATTTTAAAGTAACTTTTCCTTGCAAAGTATAAAATAAGGTCACTTCAAAGATCCTAATTTATTTTTCCTCGTAATAAAACAATTATTGTAAATATGAAATGCGTAGTATTCCAGCAAATTAACATACAAGCTATTAACATGTAACAAGCTAATGACAGACAAACAGACCGTTGCATTATCACGGTCAAATTGTAAATCATACTCTTTGTAAAACGCAAAATTATCACAACCCTAATTAGTTCTCAGAAAAAGTGAAAAACGATTTAAAAATTACAATGAACAACAACTGAACGAAAACGATGTATAAAGCAAATCATTGTAGAAGAAAAAATTCCTCGACACTATAGACTATAGATAGCATTCTGAATGAACTACGACTTGAGTTTATTTTCAAACTAGCTGTTGCTCGCGACTTTGCCCGTGTGTAATTTAAAAATATAGCCTATGTTACTTGTGATAACATAGCTTTTTAATGGTACAAGAATTTTTAAAATCGGTCACGTAGTTTTTGAGTTATTTCAATACATACAAAAATACAAATCAGTCCTCTTATATATTAGTATAGGAGTCTAGATGACGCATGACTGGTAGCCACTGTGACGTGGTCTGGGAGGCGGTTCACATCTGTCATGTTATGTGAATAAACAAGAAATCTTTTATTATTTTCGAATGAAAGCTGTTTCTATGGTGAATATATTTCAATGTAGGATTAGCAACGATTATTGTTCTTAATCTATGTCCTTGTTGTATTGCGTAGTCATCATTATGTGAGGTTTACAAACTGCGTGTTGCGTGACGCGCAGTTTCTGATAATATATGATAAGAGTATTGTTTGTTTCTAAACAGCTTTATTGAACTATATCTGACTGGATACAACAAGTTCAAAACGTTATATTACCAGTTTTAGCAGCTTAGGCGAGATTTCTATGACGCCCCTTTTTTTACCAAATAATGGGCGTTTGACATGTTTATAGAAGACATTGTAATTAAATTGGCATTATTTGTTATTTTTGTTATTATGCAGCTGTTAAGACAGTGGGAACTGGCAGAATTTTCACATTTACTTTTCATATAATTTTCTTTATTGATGCATACGTACATAAAACGGAACGTGTCAATGTAGAAGCAATTTTACATATTTCGTAAGAATTACAATAATAAATAGAATTGACTTTTTATTTGTCACAATGATTCGTGAAATAATTTTATCTTAGAAAAACAATGATTGAGTATTGTTTTTTACTGTCTGTTTTTCATATTGTACAAAATTTTGGTTATGAAAACTTATAATCGCTTGCAAAACTTCATATAGAGACTTAGTTTCGCTCACGACTCCGTTCGCGTGGAATTAAAAAAATTAAAGGAGTAGCCTATGTGTTCTTCCAGACTATCCTCTACATCTATGCCAAATTCCATCGAGATCCTTTCAGCTGTTTAGGCTACAAACTCTAACAAACATCCATCCATCTATACTTTCGCATTTATAATATTAGTTAGAAGTATAATATGGATTAGGATAGTTATTAAAGGATATATGATTCATCGTGATGTCCAAACATTGCGTAACTTGTGCACATAAGTTACAACTTAATATGCCAACGTATACATTGTGACGTGGATATGTTAGCGTGGATTATAAAACGTGTATCATGATGAAATATAAGAAAGAATCAGGAAAGCTTAAAAAATATATATATTTTTCAACTTTTCCGCGCCTTTACCAAAACTTAGATACCCTAAGTCACTGCAGTCGGTAAAGCATATTGTTGGCATTAGAAAATATTTATTAAGTACTAGCTTTCGCCAGCGACTCCGTCCGCGGGGAATCAAAAAAAATTAAGTATCCTATGTCTTCTTCCAGATTATCACCTGTGCTAAATTTCATCGAGATCCGTTCAGCGGTTTCGGCTATAAACTCTAACAAACATCCATCCATCCTTTCATCTAAAATTTGGCATTTTTAATATTAGTAAGAAGTACGCTTAAATGTTACTTAGTGTACTTATGTATTGTAATAAAAGTTTACTAAACCAGTAGATTTGGCTTCCATTTTTTAATTATTGTAATTTTTTATATTTGGCTCTTTGGCTAATAAATTTATCAACCACTGTTCTGAGGGTTACGTGACTGAGACAGTTAACAAGCTCCGGGAAAAATAAAACATAACATAGTGACAAGTTTATTACTGGTAGACAAAGACCAAAAAATATGGTTGGATTGTGTGTAAGAGAATATGCTAAGAGATTGAATTTATATATGACGGCAGATAGATGTATGGAAGAGTACATGCTAAACTTTAATGCACCAATACACATAAGACTATGTTAGGTCGATTATTTGCGTGGATTTAAAAACAAAAGTAAGCAGCCATGTGTTCTTCCAGACTATGCTGTACTATGCCAGATTTCAAAGAGATCCGTTTAGTTTAGGTGACAAAATTTAATTTTCATCTGAACTTACGCATTTATAATAAAATGTAAATAGAAGTATGATAAATATTAATCGATAGCACGTGTCGTGTTATCTATTTGATAAGACAGGTGGCGCCCATGTGACCGATTTTTATCGACATTAGATTTCTACGTGGTCAATGGTCAAGTGCCCAAACATTTCCGCTTATGACGTAGCTTGTCGTCATCTCAACGGGGGACCTGAGTCTACCCTAGTGTCTATTACCAGATTTTATTTTGTAAGTTAAATTGAGTTTTATGAGATAGGCATAAGGTTTAGTTTTACTAACATGTCTTTAAAAGAGCAAGCGTCGACCATGCTAGCCCAGAGACTTGATGTAGGTGGAATTAGGATATTTCCTTCGTCTTAAAACGTTGAATACATGTACATATGAAATTCTAAAATCGATATAAATTGGTACATTGGGAATCGAAGCAGCAACTGCACAACAAGTTAGCTTAACCACTGCTTCACAGACGTTAAGCTACCATAGCAACATACATCAATTTATATCAACTTTAATGATAAGGAAAAAACATGTGTGTAAAAGAATACGAGTATAAGAATAAATAAATTTTTCCTCGTATATCGCGCATTTCTATAATATGTATTCCAAGTATATTTAAATTTACGTCAATTAC